GGGGTCCAGGGGGGGGGTCTCGGCTGCTGGGGGGGGGCACACACGTGTCCCTGTGCGGTGACAGCCAGCTCCGGTGCAAAGGGCTGTGCTGTTCCTGGCAGGGAGGGGACGCTCGGTGTGGTGCCGGAGGGTCCCGGAGGGAGGAGACGCCCCCCGGGTACCCCTGGAGCCCTGCTTTGTGCCACCTTGTGCCCCCCCCAGCTCCTTGTGACCCCCCCCAGCCTGATTCCCCATGGTTTTCCCTCCTCCATGCCCACCCCCAACCCCTGTTTCCCCCCTTCCCAGGCTCCAGCCCTATAAAACACAACCCAAATCCAGCCAGCACCGTGCGCTACCCCCCCTCCTCGTGCAGCTCTCCAAAAATGCATGGCCCCCCCCCCTGCTCCCACCCCACCAGCAGCCCCCCCGGCTCCCAGACTGGCTCCAGGAGCTGTTGTAGGGCTGGTGATGGGGGCACAAACCCACCCACGGCACCCAGCCCAATCTGGGGAGGTGGCGAGGGCTCGGCGGGGCCCTAATTCCATTTTGCCCCCCCCTTGGCTCGGGGAGCGGAGGTCGGCGGCTGCCCGCTCGCATCCCCGGGGCGATCGTTCAGGCGGGGGCTAATGAGCCTTGACTAATCCACTTACAAATTAATTGAGACCGCTTCCCTCGAGTCCCCAGGTGGACGCGGCGTTCCCGGGCTGAGGGGGGCAGGTGCCGGCACGGAGCTGGACTCAGAGCTCCGCCACCCGCTGCCGTCACCACGAGCCCAAACCTCGGGGAGCGATTTACCCGTGGTTTTTACCAAAAAAAAATGGGCCGAAAATTCGGCTAGGAAATCCGGTGAGGGTGTGTGGCACCAGCACAGCACCAGGGACCAGGAGCAAACGCCTCCTGCCTGCTGGTGGTGCCGGGTGGCATCCTTGTGCCAGGGGCGAACGGCCACCTGAGGGGTTGGGGACGATGGGGACGCTCTCCCTGTCCCTAAAAGTGGCACCCCTAAAAGAGGGTGGCCCCCAAAAATGAGATGGGGTGCTGGGAGGCCCCAAAGCACCCACGTCCTGCTGCATCCAGGTGGTTTTCTTCGTCCCCTTCTGGAGAGGAAGGTGGCCGGGATGGGATCGCGGCGCGCCGTAAACGTCCCCAGTGGGGCAGGAGGAGGCTGGAAATTTGGGTAGGATGGGGGGAGCAGGGTGCAGAGGTGGTCCCAAGGATCCCAACCAGCCCCTTCCGTGCAGGGAAGGGTGCTGGGTGCTGTGCCACCCCTTGGGGGGGTGGGGGGGACATCGGGTAAACGGGGGCAGAGCGCGGCGGTGCCTCTCCAAAACTGTTGAGTTGGCGTTGCCCCGTCACCAACAAATCCCCTACAAAAAAAAAAAAAGCAGGGAAAGGGCAGAAAAAGGGGGTTAAATACCTGCCTGGTGTCCCCCCCCGCCCCCCCCCGGGAGGAATGTGGGGTGCTGGCACTGGGTGCCGACGCCGAGCTCCTGCCCGGTAGCTGCACCCTGGCTTGTGTCGGGCGCCGACAGATTGCTTACCCTAACGAGATGAATGGCTTAATTAATCACCCCCCCGGCTCCGCCGAGAAACATTGGGGGGGGGGTAGGATACAGCTCTGGTGCTTCACCGCCCTGCTGGGGGGGGGGTGATAGCCGAAAAGGGAGCTGGGGCATGGGGTGGGCAGGGGGCGCGGATCCCAAAGCTCCTGGCGCCCCTAAAGGGGAGCTGATGGAGATTTAATTGCCCCTCGCTCTCTTGGGGTGCTGGTACCATTTGGGGGGGGTCCTTTCTAGCCAGGCTGGGCGAGCCGAGGGGGGGTTGCAGGGCCACGGGTGGGATCACCCCATTACCACGGGCACCCCGAGGTGCTGCCCGCAGCTCCATGTCCCCCCCCCAACACCCAGCCTGCCCCCACGGCCCCGTTCCTGCCACCCTGGCACTATTACAAAGGGTTTTTTTTGGGGTGGGGGGGACACAGACACACGCCAGGACCCCAATGATTTCGTGGGCTCTTTGGGGAGGTGCGGCCGTGCCAGACAGGCGGCTTCTCCTCCCCGCACAGCTGCTTGGGGGGGGGGCTGTGTCTCCAAAAATCAGTCCTTCCCCTCGCACCCCCCTGCAGGAGGCATTCCCGGGGGGGGCTGCTCTTCTCGCAGCCCCCGGGGATGAGGGCACCAGGCCCTGCTCCGACAGCTGGGAATCGCGACCTCTCCACGCCCAGGCTTTCTATGGTGCCCCCCCTGGCTCCCCGGAGTTAATTAACCCCCCCAGGAAGCGTTGGTACTCGAGAGAGAAGAGTTTTTGGTCCCCAGCCCCGGTGTGCACGGGGGTGGGGTTGGGATTGAGCCCCCCCGGTGGGTCCCAGAGGTGCCACCGCCGGGCTGTCGGGCGTTGCGCTGCAGGAGGGCGCCGGGCTGTGCCAACACAGCCTCCTCCTGCCAGGCCCCGCAGCTTAATTAACCTCCTAATTAGCTCCCTGGCAGGGCTGCGTGCCTGGAGCCCGGGCTGGGAGCAGCATCGATGCAGCACGGGGGTGCTGCAGGCGGCACAGGATGGGGCCAGGCCCCCCCTCGGGTCTCAGCCACTCCGTATCATCCCCCGTGGTGTTTGGGGTGATTTATTCCACTCTTAGGGGATTTATTCACAAAAATCCCATCCCCATAATCAGGCAGGGGGGGTCCAATCACGGCACATGGTGCAGGATGCAGCTGGAGGGGGGGGACGAGCCCCCTCCCTCTCCGCGTCCCCTCCATTTGGCACGGTGACCCCCAAATTCTCATCCCCTGCCCGGCCAAGCACGCATCACTGCACCCCCACAAGAGGAGAAGGATTTATTTGGGGGGGGGGAATAGGGGTTAATCCCACCCCCCCACGGCCCCCTCCAGTTTTGTGCAGGGTGGGGTGGGGGGGGGTCCAAGCCCTCGGCGCCCAGGAGGGTGCGTGCCGTGCTGCGCCGGCTCCCGAGCGCGGCAATTAAGCAAAGGCAATAAACAGAGCTGACAGCAGGGCCCCAGCGGGGCCGGGGGGGGGGACAGCAGGGGGGGGGCCCAGCACCACAAGCACTATTTATGGCAAGAAATTCAACGCTGGCCCCACACGGGGCAGGGGCGCAGAGGGGTGCGGTGCGGCACCGGGGCGCATGGCGATGCCCCGGGCTTGGGAAGGGGAAAAAAAAGCCCCCCCCCAGACCCCCCCTCATGCTGGGATGCCCAGCTGGCTCTCTGCTGGCTTTTGGGGTTTTTTTATAGCTCCCACAGCTTTTTTCCACCCCAGGATGGGGCCGGGGGGGGGTGCGGGGGGTGGATTCCCGTCCCTTTTACAGCCCCCGCTTGCGTCCAGCTGCCACCTCGCCGTCACCCCTGCTGGCGTGCCACCGCCGTGGCTTTCCTGGGAGGGGGACAAATGGCTTTGGACCCTCATCCCCCAGCCCCCCCAGCCCCCCAGCACCCGTTCTGGTCCCGCTCGGGCTCTGCCTCGTCCCCCCCCTGGGGGGGGGCGCAGCCGGCACCAAAGCGAGGCCTGGCTGTATTCTACAGTGCATGTGTCTCCAGTGTTACTGAGCGGCTGGAGATGCAGCCCTGTTGGAATCACAGCCAGAGCCCAAATCTTCAGCTCCCACCGACGCCGGATCCCAGCACCCGGAGCCCCCCCCCCAAAAAAAAAAAAAGCCTGGAGACGCCCGGTGCAGCGGGGGAGCCGTGCGCAATTGTGCCAAGCGCACGTGCGCGCATCGGGGCTGCTCCGCGTGCCCCCTGTTCCCGCACGGGGTTGTTCCTGGGAGGAATCCGCCAGCTCTCGGCACGTCCGAGATTTTTGGTTCCCCTCCTCCCCGCTCTCTCCCCTTCCTCCCTCTTGGTTCATCTTCCCCAGGATGATTTATTGTCGCGTGAGCGAGGAGCAGCTGGAGTTCGCCGTCCTCGCGCTGCTCGCCCTCGTGCCCCCTGTGCCATTTTCAGCCCCGTTTCGTGCCCTGGGGACACGGTGTGGGGTCAATGGGTTCCCCTTTGGTGACACTTCTCCAAAAAGAGGGACACAGGGCTGGGTGTCCCTACCGAGGGGACAATTTTAACCCCCCTCCTCCCCAAACCTCACCACCGCAGCTCCATCCCCGCTCCATGCGCCCCATCCCAGCAGCTGCTTGGGGTGGGAGGAATTCAGGAGCCCCAAATTCGCACCGGCGGTGCCCAGGGCATGGCACGACCCCGCCTCGGGTTTGTGCCAAGTGCTGGGACATCGGGGACCCGGGGTGGCTGGAGGGTGGCCGTGCCCTCACCGTGCACTTCGGGGAGGTGGCCGGGGCGCAGCGCGTGGCTCTTGGGGATTTTGCCAGATTTCGGTGTCCACAAAAGCTGCTAAAAAATTAAAATTCCACAGCTGCGTCGGCTGTCGGGGCCGTGGAAGGCAGGAGCAGGCTCGGCTCGTTTTTATTCATGCAAAGAAATCGAAGGCGTAAATAAAACCGGCCGGGGTCAGCACGGGGGAGACCCGGCTCTGGATTTATCGGCACGCGGCCGCCCTGCTGCTGCTCCCAGCCGGTGCTGGGGTGGTGCTGGTGGCACTGGTGCAGGCACTGGTGTGGTACTGGTGGTGCTGGTTCGGTGCGAGCAGGCACCAGAGGGGCTCACACACGGCTCCCCGTGTCACCCTGCTGTGCCAGCCCCATGTCACACCACATCCTGGGGTGCTCGCCTGCCCAGTGCTCCCAGTATATCCCAGTACAGCAGGATGGCCGTTTGCACGGTCACGGGGGCACCCCAAAAAAGAGGTGGCCGCCCCCCCACCCTCCTGCAAGCCGCAGCCCCCAGCAGCCCTCTGCAGTGAGGTGGCACCGGGGTCCCGTCCCCGTCCCCGTCCCCATGGGGTACCCCCGGCACCGTGCGCCCCCTGGGCGGGCAGCATCACCTGAGGGGGATTTTGGGGCAAAGAGGGAAAAAAAAACAACACTGTGGTGACGTCGGTGACCACCTCAGCCCCCTCCCCGTCGTGTGTCCCCCCCCCCGTGTCTGCTCTCTCCCCAGGACGCCCTCCTGAGCCTGGGGGCCGTGATCGATGTCTCCAGCCTGCGGGATGCCCTGCGCGATGCCGTCCTCTCCCTGCTGCCCAAAGTGGTAGGTGGGGACCCCGGGAGGTGCTGGGGGGGGCGGGGGGGGGCACTGGGTGTTTCTGGGTATTACTGAGCTCCCTGCAGGGGGTGGATTCTCCGCTGGCTGATATTGGGGCTGAGCCACACGTCGGCACCCCCCCCTTTGCCATTTTAAGCAGGATCTGTGCTAATGCCCCCCCCCGGACCCTTGCTGATAGCGGGGAGGGAGCGGTGCTGAGCCCCCCCCCCCTGACCCAACAAGACCCCTGAGCTCCTTGTCCCCTCGCTGTCACCCACCCTGCCAGCAGCAGGTGACATTTGGCTGAGCCCCTGCGCTGTTTTTGGGATCAGACCGTGCTGCAGCAGGAGGGTGCCCGGTGACGGGGTGGGGGTGTCCCCAGGGTGCTGGCGTCCCCAGGGTGCTGCTGGCAGTCCTGGCACCACGCACACCGTCCCAAAACCATGCCCCATCCGAGCAAAACTCCCCCCTGACCCCCAGCTCTGCCTCAGTTTCCCCCTTTGCCCCATCCCCGCGGGATCCCGCCGCTCTCCTCCCTGCGCATCCCCGGCGCACGCCTCCGGTGTTATTTCTGGGCACCGAACACGCAATTGCCTGAAACCCTCGGCGCGGAAAGTCCGCTGAGCCCGGCCTTTGCCCGCCGCCGAGAGCTCCGGCACCTCGGTGCCATCAGCCAGGGAGCAGCTGGCACGGAACAGACCCGGAGCCACGGCCCCTGACGTGTCCGTGGCACCGCAGCATTAAATCACCCCGCTGCGCCGCCGTTGCGCGCGTTATCTCCCCCGCTGGCAGCTGATAATGGGATTTCATCGCCCGGCGCTGCCATGAATTACCTTTCCCTCCCTCCCTTCACCCCTCCCCGGGGAGCTGGAGCGCGTCGGGGCCGCTCGGTGAGGTTCTGCTGCCTCCTTCTTCCCGGGCGCTGCGAGGTTTTGGGGGTCCCGTGCCAAACTTGGGGGGCTTCTCGGCTTCGATCCTGCCTGCTGCGGGGTGGTGGAGCTCCTGGAAAAATGCTCCTGGGGAAACTGAGTGCCAATCCTGGGGGGCTTCTGGGGGGGGCTGAGAGGTTTGCAGAGCCGGGAGGGGGGCACAGGGAGGGCTGCAGGGGGAGCAGCCCCCAGCCCCACGCAGGGTGCGCGCTAAGGCTGCAGGGGGGGGGCTCACAGAGGTGCTGCCGCCCCCCCCCTCCAGGAGCACCTCTACATCTACCTGCTGGATGGGGACACCCGGCTGACCTGCGACGACCCCCCCCATGAGCTGCCTGCTGAGGGGAAGCTCAGGTGAGCCCCCCATGGACCCCTCCTTGGGGCGGGACCCCCAATGTGCCCCCCACTTGGAGCCTTTGGGCCCCCCCGAGCTGTGCTGTGCGCCCCCGGCCCCCCCTGTTCTGCTGCAAGCCCTGCTGGGCTGCGGGGCTGGGATGAGCCACACGCGTGCACACACCCCGTGCACGTGTGCACACACCTTGCACACACAGCCACGTGTGTGCACTGCTCGGCCAGGCACGCACAGACACACGGATACATGCAGTGTGCGTGCACACGCATGCACCCTGTGCTTGTGCACACCCCCTGCATGCCATGTGTGTGCACACTGTGCACGTGCAAGCACGCACGCATGAAGCGTGTGCATACACACACCCCGTGCACGTGCACACACACCCCATGCACGTGCATGCACACTCAGTGTGCACATGCATGATGCACATGCAGATGTAGATGCACGCACACTGTGCACACACACTCACTGTGCAAGTGCACACGCCATGCACACGCATGCACACACCATGCACATGGATGCACACTCACTGTGCACATGCACACGTGCACAATGCACATGCAGATGCAGATGCACACACAGTGCACATGCATACACTCACTGTGCATGTGCACGCACACACCATGCACATGCATGCACACCCCAAGCACACGCACGCACACATGCATATGCATGCACACTCACCGTGCACACGCATGCACACACCATGTGCATGCATGCACATGCACAATGCACGTGCAGCATGCAGACGCACACTCACTGTGCGCACACACGCTCCATGTGCACATGCACACGCACCCTGTGCTCGTGCATGCACACCCCACGCACACACACACCCCATGCACACCCAATGCACATGCATGAACAAACACCTGTGCACACGCACACCCCCCCCATGCACACGCATGCACACTCCCTGTGCACACACCCCCCCCATGCACACGCACACCCCATGCACGCGCATGCACAATCCCTGTGCACACACGCCCCCATGCACACGCACACCCCGTGCACGCGCACGCACACTCCCTGTGCACACCCCATGCACACACACCCCGTGCACGCGCACGCACACTCCCTGTGCACACCCCCCCCGTACCCCAATCCCTCCCTGATCACTTGCACACCCTTTTTCCTCCCCCCTTTTACCTCCCCCCCCAAATTTTTAGGCTGTCCCCACCCCCACAGCTGTCCTGCCCCATGGCTGGGGGTCCCCTGCTGTTGCCCCCCCCCCCAGCTCTCCCAGCCCCACATTCACTGGGTCCATCCTGGGGGGGTCCCTTATTGGGGCCAAAGCAGGGGGACACATCCCGGGGTGGGGGTCCAACAGAGGCTGGGAGCAAAGCAGCCTCCAGGTGGGGGTCCCGGGGCGGAGCCCCCCCCCCCCGGCCTTGTGGGGGGGTGGCTCAGGGTGCCCCATGTCCCCCCCAGGGATGCGGTGCGGAGGCAGAAGCGGGTGGAGTGCGGGGGGCTGCCCCCCGCCGAGCTGCAGGGCCAGAAGCTGGGCCCCCTGGCTGCGCCCCTCGCCCCCGGCACGCAAGGTGGGGGCTGCACGGGGCGGGGTGGGGAGGGGGCAATGGGGAGGGGGTGGGAAATGGGTGGGGGGGGGGAAGGGGGTGGGTGGGGGTCAGGGGTGGGATGGAGGGAGGGAGGGAGGGGTGGATGGGTGGATGGGTGGAGGGATGGATGGAGGGATTTAGGGGTGGATGGAGGGATGGAAGGAAGGAAGGAAGGAAGGAAGGAAGGAAAAATGGATGGATGGATGGATGGATGGATGGATGGATGGATGGATGGATGGATGGATGGATGGATGGATGGATGGATGGAAAAAAGGATGGAGGGATTTAGGGATGGATGGAGGGATGAAGGGATGGGTGGAGGGATGGACGGACAGATGGAAGGAAAAAAGGATGGATAGAGGGATGGATGGATGGAAGAATAGATGGATGGAGGGATACAGGGATGGGTGGAGGGATGGATGGAAGGAAAAAAGGATGGATGGATGGATGGATGGGTGGGTGGATGGACGGACGGACGGACGGACGGACAGAAGGAAGGAAGGAAGGAAGGAAGGAAGGAAGGAAGGAAGGATGGAGGGATGGATGGACGGACAGATGGAAGGAAAAAAGGATGGATAGAGGGATGGATGGATGGAAGAATAGATGGATGGAGGGATGGAGGGATACAGGGATGGGTGGAGGGATGGATGGGTGGATGGATGGAAAAAAGGATGGAGGGATGGGTGGATGGATGGATGGATGGACGGACGGACGGACGGACAGATGGAAGGATGGATGGATGGATGGATGGATGGAGGGATGGAGGGATGGATGGAAGGAAGGAAAAAAGGATGGATGGATGGAAGGATGGATGGATGGAGGGAGGGAGGGAGGGAGGGATGGATGGGTGGATGGGTAGGTGGATGGATGGATGAAAGAATAGATGGATGGAGGGATGGATGGAAGAAAGGAAGGAAAAAAGGATGGATGGATGGATGGAAAAAGGATGGAGGGATGGATGGATGGGTGGATGGGTGGAGGGATGGACGGATGGACGGATGGAAGGAAAAAAGGATGGAGGGATGGGTGGATGGATGGGTGGAGGGAGGGATGAATGAATGGATGGATGGATGGATGGATGGATGGATGGATGGATGGATGGATGGATGGAAGGAAAAAAGGATGGATGGATGGATGGATGGATGGATGGATGGAAGGAAGGAAGGAAGGAAGGAAGGAAGGAAGGAAAAAAGGATGGATGGATGGATGGATGGATGGATGGATGGATGGATGGATGGATGGATGGATGGATGGATGGAAGGAAAAAAAGGATGGATGGAAGGAAGGAAGGAAGGAAGGAAGGAAGGATGGATGGAAAAAAGGTTGGAGGGATGGGTGGAGGGATGGAAGGACTAGAGGGACAGACGGACGCACGGACTTGGTTACTTGGAGGACTTGTTAGCGTTAGGTCAGAGGTTGGACTCGATGATCTAGAGGTCTCTTCCAACCTAGAAATTCTGTGATTCTGTGACTCTGTATGGCTGGCTGGGTGGGTGGACGGATGGGTGGAGGGAAGAAGGGAGGGAAGGAAGGAGGGATGAGGGTGCACGGGTGACTAGGTGGGTGGGTGGGTGGATTTATGGGTGGGGGTGGGTGGATAAGAGGGTGGGTGGGTGGGCAGATGGGTCGGGGACAGATGGATGGGTGGGAGAAGGGATGGATGGATGGGTGGAGAAGACAGGAGGGGACAGCACGGAGTGGGTGGGTGGGCACCGGGGGGGCTGCACACACGGGGGGTATGAAGGGAAGGGGAGGAAGGGGGGGGGGGGCACCCAATTTGAGGGGTCGGTGCCACCCCTCCGGCACCCCCCCGGGGCTGAGCCCGCTGTCTCCTTGCAGTGCTCATCATCCCGCTGGTGGACAAGGACAGCGGGGCCGTGGTGTGCGTCCTCCTGGTGAGCAGGGGGGGGGGGACACGGAGCTGGGGACCCCCCCCCCCCAATCCCCTGGGGACATCCCCCCCCAATCCCTTAGGGACACCCCTTGGGTGGGACCTGAGCCGCGACCCCAAAACGCATGGAAAACACCCCCAAAACCTCACTTCTCCTCCCCAAAATTGGGGGGTCTGGGGGTGCCCACGCGCCCCCCCCGGCCCCCAGCGTCCTCCCGCTGCCCCCCCCAGGTTCACTGCAGCCCCCTGAGCGACTCGGACGAGCAGAACCTGCGCGCCCTGGAGCGCCACGTGAGTGACCCCAACCTCTCCACGGTGCCTCCCGTCCCCGGGACCACCTCGTCACCCCCCCCCCCCACAGGACCCTGACGCCCCCCCCCCCCCCCTTTGTCCCCGCAGACCCTGGTGGCGTACCGGCGCGTGCAGGCTCTGCAGAAGCTGCAGCCCTGGCCGCAGGTCAGCCTCTCCACCAGCTCCTCGCAGACCTCCTTGGCCAAGGCTGAGAAGGCTCCCGAGGGCAGCTACAGCGAGCTGGACTGCAAGATCCTACAGCTCTGCGGTGAGGGGGGGGGGACGCACGGGGTGGGGGGCGCACGGGGGGCGCACAGGGGGGGTGCGGAGAGGGCAGGGTGCTGAGCCAGCCCCTCTTGCAGGCGAGCTGTACGACCTGGATGCCGCCTCGCTGCAGCTCAAGGTCATCAACTATGTGAGTAGCTGCCCCCCCCCAGGCTCCCCAACATATCACCAAAACAGCCCCCAAATTGAAATTGAACCCCCCCCCTCCAAGATATGGTCATCAGTAGGGACCAGAGTGAACGGCCCCGGAGCTGTCACGAGTCTCCAAAGCTCACGGGGACACCCCAGGCACGAGGATGGGCACGGAAATGGCACGGGGGGGGGTCCTGCGCTTAGCCCCCCCCCAGCCTTAATTAACTCCAGGGCGCACAGCCCTTGGGGTGCCATCAGTAGGCTCCAGGGTTAACGCGCCCAGCCCCAGCGGAGAGGTCCCAGGGGGGCACCCCGCTCTTTGGGGGGTACCAGGGGTGCTCTGGGGATGGGTTAGGGGCCAGATCCTGCCCTCTGGGGGGGGGGGGGCTCGGGGCAGGTTGGAGCACCCACGGCTGCCCTCGTGTCCCCCCCCCACCCCAGCTGAAGCAGGAGACCCAGTCGCTGTGCTGCTGCCTGCTGCTGGTCTCGGAGGACAACCACCAGCTCTTCTGCCAGGTGGGTGCCCCCCAGATGGGCTCCCCCCATGTCCTGGACCCCCAAAATATCCCAGACCCCCCCCCAGAAGCTCAGCCCCGTGGCCCCATCTCTTTCAGGTGGTGGGCGACCGCGTCCTCGAGGAGGAGATCAGCTTCTCGGTGAGGGCACCCATGGGTGCCACCTTTGGGGATACAGTGCCCCAAGGGGGGGCCGATGCTGCTGTGTCCCCCCCCGCCCTATTTCAGCCCCCCCCCCTCTGCCCACAGCTCACCTTCGGGCGCCTGGGGCAGGTGGTGGAGGACAAGAAATCCATCACCTTGAAGGACATCAGTGAGGTGGGCGCCCCCACGGAGCTGAGCCCCCCACAGGGCACCCTTGGGGGGCTGGGGGTGACCCCTGCCCACCCCTTTTTGCCCCCCCCTCCCCTCTTTTTTTTTTTTTTTTTTTTTTTTTTTCCCCCCCTTGCAGGAGGAGCACAAGCAGCTCAACAGCATGCTGGGCACCGAGGTCACCTCCATGCTCTGCGTCCCCGTCATCAGCCGTGCCACCTCCCAGGTGGTGGCCCTGGCTTGCGCCTTCAACAAGCTGAGCGGAGAGAGGTGAGGGTGGGCTGGGGGTGGCCGGGATCCAGCCCTCGCCCCCCCCTCCACCCCCCCCATTTCCCTCTGGTGGGCGCTGAGCTTCATCCCTGGGGGGGTCTCCGTCCCTTCCAGTTACACGGAGAGGGACGAGCACAAGATCCAGCACTGCTTCTGCTACACCTCCACGGTGCTCACCAGCACGCTGGCCTTCCAGAAGGAGCAGAAGCTCAAGTGCGAGTGCCAGGTGAGCCCCCCCCACTCCCCCCCGGCTGCACAGCACCCATGGGTGCCCCCCAGGCTGCTGATGTCCCCTCTGTCCCCACCAGGCCCTGCTGCAGGTGGCGAAGAACCTCTTCACGCATTTGGGTAGGTGCCCGGGGAGCACCCCTGGGTGGTGCCGAGCCGGGTGACGGTGGCACCGGGGTCCCTTTTGGGGGGGGGGGACGTGGTGCTGTGCGCCACCAGCCCTAACCCTGCTGGTCGCAGGAGGGCACCCCTGAGCATGCACAGCGCTGGCTGCTGGTGCACGCATGCACAGACTGCGTGCACGTAGCAGCGTGCGTGCACATTGCACTGCTGCGTGCACACAAAGCGTTACAAGCATGCATGCTGCTGGACGTGCAGCATTTCATGCACACAAACGGCTGCATGCACCTGTACTGCCAGGTGCCTGCACGCACTGCAGTGTGCACCTCTTGTGAGCATAGCAATGTCTGCATGCATGCACTCAAAACTGCACACAAGCGGTCTGCTGCATGCCCGCGCAGTGCTGCATGCATGCACGGCAGCATGCACAGACACCCTGCTGTGCACACCTGCAGGCTGCATGCACTTTTGCATGTGTGCGCACATCTGTGCGTGCACACTCATGCATGCATGCATGTGTGCGTGCGAGTTTCGTGCATGCATGCACGCACTGCTGCACAAATGCATGCACACGCGCCACATGCATGCACATACACACAGCTGCACGAGCACTACACTGCTGCATGCACACGTGCCACGTGTATGCATGCACACACTGCTGCACAAGCGCATGCACACTGCTGCAGCTGCACGTGCCATGTGCATGCACACACGCTGCTGCATAAGCGCGTGCACAGCGCTGCATGCACATATGCCACATGCACGTGTGCGCGCTGCTGCACGAGCACATGCACACCACTGCATGCACACGTGGCACATGTGTGCACACTGCTGAATAAGCACATGCACACTGCTGCAAGTGCACGTGCCACATGCATGCACCCTGCTGCATAAGCATGCACAAAAGGTGTGCACCCTGCTGCATGCACACATGCCACATGCATGCACACTGCTGCATGCACACAGGGCACCCCACTGCATGCACACCCCGTTGCATGCACACACTGCTGCATGCACGCACCCCGCTGCATGCACAACGCTTGTTGCAGACGGAGCAGAGACCCCCCCTCATTACACACATGCATGGCGGGCTTCCCGCTGGGCTGGGGGGCTCCCCGCCTTCAGCCCTGCACTGGGGGGCACCCTCCCCACGCCCCCCCCTAACCCTTTCCCCCCGCTGCAGACGACGTCTCCGTGTTGCTCCAGGAGATCATCACGGAAGCCCGAAACCTCAGCAACGCCGAGATGTGAGCGGGGACCCCAGGCGGGGAGAGGGGGACACGGGGGACGGGGGGGTGTCCCAGTGGGTGCGAGTGCCGCGGTGGCCTCTTGCAGATGCTCCGTGTTCCTGCTGGACCGCCACAGCCACGAGCTGGTGGCCAAAGTGTTCGACGGCGGCGTGGTGGATGACGAGGTGAGGTGGGCTGCGGGGGGCAAGCGGCACGATTTTAGGGGGATTTTAGGAGGATTTTAGGCTCGGGGAGGGCCGTGCCAGCTGTCCCTGAGCCTCTCCGTGCCCACAGAGCTACGAGATCCGCATCCCCGCCGACCAGGGCATCGCGGGGCACGTGGCCACCACGGGCAAGATCCTGAACATCAAGGACGCCTACTCGCACCCCCCTCTTCTACCGCGGCGTGGACGACAGCACCGGCTTCCGCACCAGGAACATCCTCTGCTTCCCCATCAAGAACGAGAGCCAGGGTGAGGGCAGTGGGACCTGCACAGGGGGTACAATCCCGTCCCAAGAATTAGGGAATTGCATTGTCCCCAGTGCATGGGCATGATGCTGTCCCCTGGACATGGGCATGATACTGTCCGCAGTAAAGGGGCACGATCCTGTCCCCAGCGCATGGACACGATCCTGTCCCCAAAACCCAGGCACGATCCCGTTCCCAAAACAAGGACACAGTCTTGTCCCCAAAACCTGGGCACAATCCTGTCCCCAGCACATGGACATGAAACTGTCCCCAAAATATGGGCACAATCCTGTCCCCAGCACAAGGACATTTCATTTTCCTCAGCACACGAGCACAATCTTGTCCCCAAAACCTGGGCACAATCCTGTCCCCAGCGCATGGACACGATCCTGTCCCCAAAATATGGGCACAATCCTGTCCCCAGCACGAGGACATTGCATTTTCCTCAGCACATGAGCACAATCCTGTCCCCAAAACCTGGGCACGATCCAGTTCCCAAAACAAGGACACAATCTTGTCCCCAAAACCTGGGCACAATCCCATCCCCAGCTCATCACACCATCCCCAAGCCCACCCCTTGGGTACAGCACATGCTGACAGCCCCGTGCCGTGGGTGGGGGGTCCCAACCCGCCCCCCCCCGACCCCAATGTGTCCCCAGAGGTCATCGGGGTGGCCGAGCTGGTCAACAAGATCAACGGGCCCTGGTTCAGCAAATTCGACGAGGACCTGGCCACCGCCTTCTCCATCTACTGCGGCATCAGCATCGCCCACGTGAGTACCTGGGGGGGGTCCGGGTCCCGGCTTGGGGAGGGGACACGTGGGGACGGTGAGGTGTCCGGAGGGGGGGTGCTCCCTCTCAATGCACCCACGCCCCCCTTTTTGCCCCCCAGTCCCTGCTGTACAAGAAGGTGAACGAGGCGCAGTACCGCAGCCACCTGGCCAACGAGATGATGATGTACCACATGAAGGTGAGGGGTGTCCCCCCCCCAGGGGGGGCGATGCGCCCCCATATCCTGGCACGGGGAGGGGGTCTCCTGCTGGATGGGGGGGGATGGCAGCGAGATGTTGGGGTTCTTGGCATCGGTCCCAGGGGAATTTTGGGGATGCCCTGGGTGCTGAACCCATACCGTGGTGCTGGCTGAGGTGTCCCAGGGGATTTTGGGGACCCCCTGGGGCTGTACCCATGCTGTGGTGCTGCCTGAGGTGTCCCAGGATAATTTGGGGACCCTATGGGCTCTGCGCCCTGCCATGGTGCTGGCTGGAGTGACCCAGGGGACATTTGGGGACCCCTTGGGTGCTGTGCCCATCCCGTGGTGCTGGCTGGAGGGACCCAGGGGACATTTGGGGACCCCTTGGGTGCTGTACCCATGCTGTGGTGCTTGCTGGAGTGACCCAAGGGATATTTGGGGACCCCTGGGCGCTGTACCCATGCCGTGGTGGTGGTTGAGGTGTCCCAGGGGAATTTTGGGGACCCCTGGGTGCTGTGTACCCATGCCATGGTGCTTGTTGGAGGTGACCCAGGGGACATTTGGGGACACCTTGGGCTGTTGTGGTGCTGCCTGAGGTGTCCCAGGGGAATTTTGGGGACCCCCTGGGCTCTGTGCCCGTGCCATGGTGCTGCCTGAGGTGTCCCAGGATAATTTGGGGACCCCCTGGGCGCTGTGCCCGTGCCCCCCAGGTGTCGGACGACGAGTACACCAAGCTGCTGAGCGAGGGCATCCAGCCCGTGGCCACCATCGACCCCAATTTCGCCAGCTTCACCTACACGCCCCGCTCCCTGCCCGAGGACGACACCTCCATGGTGAGGGCTCGGGGGGGCAGGGGGACATCCCCAAACCCCCCCCCGCTTTGGGGTGAGCAGGGGGACCTTTGCCCACCCCCATCCCCTCCCCAGGCCATCCTGAGCATGCTGCAGGACATGAACTTCATCAACACCTACAAGATGGACCGCCAGACCCTCACCAGGTGGGGACGAATTTTGGGGTCTTTGGGGGTTGAGAAGCCCCCTCCTCACCCCCCCGTTATCCTCCGACCCCCCCCAGGTTCTGCCTGATGGTGAAAAGGGTTACCGTGACCCCCCCTACCACAACTGGATGCACGCCTTCTCCGTCTCCCACTTCTGCTACCTGCTCTACAAGAACCTGGAGCTCGTCAACTACCTGGAGTAGGCCGGGACCCCCTCCCCTAAAAAAAAAATGCCCCCCCCGGGGTCTCCCCGCCCTCCCGCCTGCCTCAGTTTCCCTCCTCCTCCTCCCCTTCCCCAGAGACATCGAGATCTTCGCCCTGTTCATCTCCTGCATGTGCCACGACCTGGACCACCGGGGCACCAATAATTCCTTCCAGGTGGCCTCGGTGAGATTGGGTTTTGGGATGGGGGGAGAGGGGCACGGGGACACCGTGGGGGCAAGGGGGGGTCACCCAGAGGTGATATGGGGGTGTGCTCTAGCTGGGAGCCACGGGTAGGGTTAGGGGCAGGGTTGGGTTAGGATTAGGGTTAGGTTAGGGGCAGGGCAGGGGCAGGGTTAGGTTAGGGTTAGGGTTATGGTTAGGGTTAGGGTCAGGGTTAGGGTTAGGATTAGGGTTAGGGTTAGGGGTTAGGATTAGGGTTAGGGTAGGGGCAGGGTTATGTTAGGGATTGTTAGGGTTATTGTTAGGGTTAGGGTTAGGGTTAGGGTTAGGGTTAGGGTTAGGGTTAGGGTTAGGGTTAAGGTTAGGGTTAAGGTTAGGGTAGGGTTAGGGTTAGGCTTAGGGTTATGGGGTTAGGGGTTCAGGATTCAGGTTAGGTAGTTGCAGTGGTAGGGTTAGGGTTAGGGTCAGGGTTAGGGTCAGGGTTAGGGTTAGGGTTAAGTTAGGGGTTATGGTTATAGTTAGCCGTTAGGGTTAGGTTAGGGTTAGGTTAGGGGTTAGGGTTAAGGTCAGGGGTAGGGGTAGGGGTAGGGTTAGATTTAGGGGTTAGGGTAGATTTAGGGGTTCCAGTTAGGGTCAGTGCCAGGGTTATTGTTAGGGTTATTGTTAGGGTTAGGGTTAGATTTAGGGTTAGGGTTAGGTTAGGGTTAGGGTTAACTTAGGGTTAGTTTTATGGTTTAGGGTTAGGGTTTGGGTTAGGGTTAAGGGTTAGTTTTAGAGGTAGGGGTTAGGGTTAGGTTTAGGGGTTGCATTTAGGGTTAGTATTAGGGTTAGGGTCAGGATTAGGTTCATGTTTAGCGGTTAGGGGTTACTATTAGGGTTAGGGTTATGTTTAGGGGTTAGGTTTAGGCTTAGGCTTAGGGTTAGTTTTAGGGAATAGGGTTAGGATCAGGATCAGGTTTGGGTTTAAGATCGGTTTAGGGTTAGTATTAGATTATGGTTTAGGTTTAGGGTTGGGTTTAGGGTTAGGGTTAGGCTTGGTTTTGGCGTTAGGGTTAGGGTTAGGCTTGGATTTGGGGTTAGGGTTAGGGTTGGGTTTGGGGTTAGGATTAGTTTTAGGGGATAGTGTTAGGGTCAGGGTCAGGTTTAGGATTCGGATCAGGGTCAGGAGCAGCATCAGATTTTGGTTTAGCTTTAGGGGTTGGTTAGGGTTAGGTGTTATGTTTAGGGTTAGGTTTAGGGTTAGGTTTAGGGTCAGGGTCAGGCTGACCCCAGCTGCCCCTCCTTGCAGAAATCCGTCCTGGCAGCTCTGTACAGCTCCGAGGGCTCAGTCATGGAGGTAAGACCCCCCCCAACCCTACTCTTTGGGGTTTTTGGCACCGTCCGCCCCCTCCCCTGGCTCATGGGGTCCTTCTGAGCCCCCCCCAAAACCCGTGCGCCCCAATCCCCGACCACGTCCCCGCTCCCCCCGCAGCGCCACCACTTCGCCCAGGCCATCGCCATCCTCAACAGCCAGGGCTGCAACATCTTCGACCACTTCTCCCGCAAGGTGAGCCCCCCCCAAAACCCCCTTATCCCCCCCAAAATCCCCCCCTGGCCTCCCCAGCTCCTGCTGGGGGTGCTGAGCCCCGTGACCCTATAGGATTACCAGCGCATGCTGGACCTGATGCGGGACATCATCCTGGCCACTGACCTGGCCCACCACCTGCGCATCTTCAAGGACCTCCAGAAGATGGCAGAAGGTGGGGAGGGGGCTGCCCGGACCCTCCCGGGGGGGTCCCGTTGTCCCCCAAAGTTATGGGGTGGGGGCGCAGGGTGGGTTGGCCAAGGGGCACCGCGCTGCGTCCCCAGGAGGTGCCCAAGGGGCTCATCCCATTGAGGCTGGTGGGGGGTCTTGGATGTCCCCAGAACCTCCTCCTAGGGGCACTGGGGGTCTGTGGTGACCCCCCCAGACCCAAATCTGCCCCCCCGTCCTGCCCGCAGTCGGCTACGACCCCAAAAACAAGCAGCACCACAGCCTGCTGCTCTGCCTGCTGATGACCTCCTGCGACCTCTCCGACCAGACCAAGGGTTGGAAGACCACCAGGAAAATCGCGGTGAGTGGGGACCCCCCCAAAAACCCCCCAAAACCTCCCCAAATTGCCCCCAGGGTGTACCCCGTGCCGGGTGCTTGCACCAACAGGGGGGCACCAGCAGCTCCCCAAGGGACGTCCCCTGCACCCAGAGCCACGTCCCCCAAATTCCGAAAAAAAGGGGGAGATGTTCCCCAAAAAGGGAAAATTGTTCCCCAAAAAGGGAAAATTGTTCCCCAAAAAGGGGGAATTGTTATCAAAAAAAGGGGAATTGTTCCCAAGAAAGAGGTGTTTTTCCCCAAAAAGGGGGAATTGTTCCTAAAAGTATGTTGTTGTTACCCAGAAAGGGGGAGTTTTTCCCCCAAACAGGGGAATTTTCCCAAAAAAAGGGGGGAAATTTCCCAAACCAAGGGAATATTTCCCCCAAATGGGGAGTTGTTTCCCAAAAGGGGGAATTGGTCCCAAATAAGGGGGAATCGTTCACCAAAAGTGGGGAGTTGTACCCAAAAAGGGGGGATTTTTCCTTATAAAGGGGAATTGCTCCTCCAAAATGGGGAGATTTTCCCCAAAAGACAGGGAACTGTTCCCAAAAAAGGGGAGTTGTCCTCAAAACATGGGGAATTGTTACCAAACAATGGGGTATTCTCAAAAAAAAAAGGGGATTTTTCCCCAAAAGATGGGCATTGTTACCTAAAAAGGGAAAATTGTTCCCCAAAAAGGGGGAATTGTTATCAAAAAAGGGGAATTGTTCCCGAGAGAGGTGTTTTTCCCCAAAAAGGGGGAATTGTTCCTAAAAGTATGTTGTTACCTAGAAAGGGGCAGTTTTTCCCCCAAACAGGGGAATTTTCCCAAAAAAAGGGGGGAAATTTCCCAAAACAAGGGAATATTTCCCCCAAATGGGGAGTTGTTTCCCAAAAGGGGGAATTGGTCCCAAATAGGGGGAATCGTTAACAAAAAGTGGGGAGTTGTACCCAAAAAGGGGGGATTTTTCCTTATAAAGGGGAATTGTTCCTCCAAAATGGAGAGATTTTCCCCAAAAGACGGGGAATTGTTCCCAAAAAAGGGGAGTTGTCCTCAAAAACGGGGACTTGTTACCAAACAATGGGGTATTCTCAAAAAAAAAAGGGGATTTTTCCCCAAAAGATGGGCATTGTTACCTAAAAAGGGGAAATCGTTCCCCAAAAGGGCGATTTTTTCCCCCAAACGTGGGAATTGCTCCGAAAAAAAGGGGGAACTGTTCCCAAAAATGGGGAAATTGTTCCCAAAAATGGGGAAATCGTTCCCAAAAACGGGGGGAATTTTTAATAAAAAAAGGTGAAGGGACTCGTTCCAAAATGGGACTCGTTCCGAAAAAAAAAAAAAAAAAAAAAAAAAAAAAAA